GTATTCATCGAGCTTCTTTTCCACGCCTGCCACACGCCCAGTTCATTTAATCCTTCTTGAATTGAACATCGTAATATTATTTGGCCAGGAGTACAGGCATTAAGCATCTTACTCTGCGCGGTTCTCCATCTTGTTTTATTTCCTCTAACTTCTACCCAAATATTCTTCTGAGAACCCTGTTCTTAGTCACGCTCATTCGTGTTCTCTTGTCCTGAGAGACCAAATTTGACATCCACACAAAACAACAGACAAATTTATAGTTCTGAATTTTTTAATTCCTACGTTTTTTATGACAGATGGGGAAGGAAACGTTTCAGTATTGAATAATAACAAACATCTTCTTTAACATTAAAAGTGTAAATATTATTATCATTATTTTGATGTCGTGTTAGCACACAAATAAGTAAGAATTAATTGAGTTATTATTATTATTATTATTATTATTATTATTAAGTTCTATGTGTGTATGTACGTGTATTGTCCTTTCTCGCCACTTAATGGTATAATCATTGGAAATGTATTATTATTTATTTTTCTTACCTTTTAATGCAAACTTTAATTTTTCTTGGAACTATTACTAATTTATTGCGATTGTATATACTGTCTTATTTTGTATTCAGATATTTTTGTGCCATGAAAGGTTTATTATAAAAGGTTATCAAGTCCGTCAAGTGTTAATTAATGTTTTTTCTCTCTCCTTTTCAATCATCATCCTTGACATGTTTCTGTCTGAGAGACCATCTTCAGAAGGATATATCAGTACGGGAAGAAACTACTATACAATGTGATTTGTCAATATCAATACATAGATACAGTATCACTATATTGCCATGAATATAAAATCTGACCCTTTAGCAACTACAGCAATGCGCATGAATATATTAAAATATTTATAAATTATTACTTACTTACTTACTCATGGAGCTGAGACCTTCTGGAGGAGCCGCCAATTCTGCAGCTACTCAAGAATTTCCCAGCATTTTATGGAACCCGAAGGTTCATTACCGTGTTCAGAAGAGCCCTCCACTGGTCCCTATCCTGAGCCAGATCAATCCAATCCATATCATCCCATCCTATCTCTCTAAGATCCATTCTAATATTGTCCACAAACCTACGCCTTGGTCTTCCCTGTGGTCTCTTTCATTCACACTTTCCCACCAATATCCTATACGCATTCCTCGTCTCCCCCATTCGTGCTACATGCCCTGCCCACCTCATCCTCCTTGACTTGATCATTCTAATTATACTTGGAGAAGAGTACAAGTTATGAAGCTCCTCATTATGCATTTTTCTCCAACCTCCTGTCACTTCATCTCTCTTATTTATAAATTATTATAATTAGTTTATTTACAGTTGTGGTGTAAAAAGACTTTGTTAAAATTTAGAACCAATTTTGTTCGTGTCCTTCACACTGTCTCTCTTTATCTGGCTGTCAATGTTACTATATTAACCGTTTGAAGTCTGAGGAAAGAGAGAGAGAGAAGACGGACAGACGAGGCCAATGGCCTATTACGACAGTCTCATTCATGAAAATTATCCAGGGTCTAAGCAGTGTTCACTAGCCTGGGTGTTCAAGGAGAGAGAACTTGCTGACTCTCGTTAAGTAGTCATCAGCAGATTTACCCTAGAACACGAAAGCTGCTGAGCACTGTTTAGACCCTGAGTGATAACGTGAAATTCTCTAAATAATATATAAGGTTAGGGTTAGGAAAGCTGTTACAAGTACAGAGGCCTTAGGCCGAGTTTGAATGGAAAAAAGTTAAGTAATGCGAAGTGTACCTGTTCCAGTGCAGTGAAATAAACACAAGCACGTGCCCTTTTATGACTTTTATATGTTTGGATTTGCACTATGGGTACCTTGTTTATTGTATGTGTTTTGTTTTGTATTGTTCCCTTTATGTTATAGTGTTTCCTTGTCTGTATCAGTGTAAAATCTACTGCCACCGGGTGAATACCAAATTGCAGTAAAATAATAATGATAATAATATTCCTATCTCACAGAGAATGCTTTTCATCTCCGTTACATAAGCCAGTCGGTCACTGATGTTTACGAAAATGATTGTTATTGGTTCAGACGAAATATATTAATACACAGTTTTTAAAACGTTAAGTCAGGTCGTATTACTAATCACTGAGTTAAAATGGTTAACACCCATATCTTGATTATATTTTATTTTTTTGTCAGGTAAGATGCAAGTTGTCACAATCTTGACACCAGAGAAAGCTAAATTGTTATCAAACTGATTTAGAACTGTTCTTCAAGACATTTACTTTTGTGAACATTAACAGCTGTGCTTTACTAAACGTGTTAGCCCTGATTCACGTATACATTTGGAGGGAAAGTATTTGAAAATATCTTTTTAAAGGCCTACATATACCCAACATATATACATGATCGTAAGAATTTAAAATTTTTTATTTGTTTCATTCTGGTCCGTCACACTAATAGTATGAAAAAGTTAAATAGTTCCGTTCAGTGTGACTGGTTATGATTTTCTTATTTCAATTATTCATGCCTTTACATGTTGCGGTCTTCAGAGACCATCTTCAGAGGGACACCTTTACATCAGAACAGTTAGAAGCCAGTATTACAGTACATGTTCTAAAAGTTAAAATATATACATACAATATAAACAAAATACAATTGGCTGTAAGATCTAAAGTCTTTACAACTACAGCGGCTGTTCCAATAAATTTAAAATATTTATAGTTAATTTGATAAGATTCTAATAGCTGTAGTTGTAAAGATTTTAGATTTTACAGCCAATTGTATATTGTTTATATAGTATGTATATAAGTAGTTACTGTAGGATTCTGACGATGGTGTATAACACACTGATATGTTAGGTTTTTGGACTTTATCCACCGTCCTGGTTTTTAAGATAACAAATAAAAACACGACGTTTCGGAAACAGATCCAGTTTCCGAAACGTCGTGTTTTTATTTGTTATCTTAAAAACCAGGACGATGGACAAAGTCCAAAAACCTAACATATCTGTATGTATATAGTTTAACTTTTAGAACATGTACTGTAATAGTGGCTTCTAACTGTATTGATGTAAAGGTGTCCCTCTGAAGATGGTCTCTGAAGACCGCAACATGTAAGGGCATGAATAATTGAAATAAGAAAATTATAACCAGTCACACTGAACGGAACTATTTAACTTTTCATAATTTGAAGTATGTTTCTAAGTGCGACATGAGATATCACGTCTTCTCCCACTGCAGTGACAGAGGCATTTAGAGACGCAACATAATGCAGTTTCTCCTCAGTGACTACGCTCAGCAGCTGTGTGATGAGAAACATGAATGGAGAACAGATTACAAAGGCAACCGCTCATAAACAAAATAGCAATCGCATCTCTCTCCGCAGACTTTTTCCAAAGAAGGAAATGATGTTTAAAACTTTATGTACCTTCACAAGGTACTCGAATACATTCTCAGCAGTAGGAAATCACACACTCTGACATATCTTAACTGACTTGAATGACTTCATAGGAAGATGTATATTTGGCCGCGCCATAGCTCAAGCGGTTAGTCGCTGGCTTCCCATCGCGATGGCCCGGGTTCGATCCCAGGTCTGGTCAAGTGGGATTTGTGATGGACAAAGTGGCGCTGGAGCAGGTTTTCTCCGAGTACTTCGGTTTCCCCTGCCAATCTTCATTCCGCCAATTGATCCACAATCACCCTCACCTATCATCTGGGGCTGGTACAGTAGGCCAGAAGTGGCCGCATTACAAGGGACTTAGTCCCACCCCACTAGCATTAAAAAAAGATGTGTGTTTGAAATTAGGCGAATGTGTTTACTAAGGTGAAGACCTTTCATATCACCTTACTATGATTCATTTACAGCAGTTCCGCCTACTACTATATATTGCTCTGAATTTTATTTTATTATTATCCTCACATACCGTTTGTTTCCCAAGTTTATGCCGGGATAGCGTAGTCGGTATAGCGACTGGCTACAGGTTGGACTACCGAGGGGTCGGAGTTCGAGTCCCGGTAGGGTCAAGAATTTTCTCTTCTCTGGGGCCTACCCAGCCTCGTATCCAGTGGGTACCGGGGGCTCTTTACCCCAGAATAAAGAGGTTGTGGCGTCAAACTGACCACTCACAGACATCTAGTGCCGAGGTGAAGAAAATATGGACCTCTACATCCACTCCCCCATACGCTTTCATGGCGTACTGCTTATTTAGTTAAGCACAGGGACAAACGTATCTTATTATTATTATGGCTCTGCAGCACTTTGTTGGGCCTTGGTCACTTTTTTCAGTTTCTTGTTTCTATACACAGTAGGATTCCTTACACGGGGGATCATAAACACAGGACAACACTAATCCAGAATAATCGCATACACACAACAAATATCCATGCCTCGAGTGGGATTCGAACCCACGGTATCAATGTTCGAGCGATCGAAGACAGTACAGGCCTTAGACCGCGCGGCCACTGTGACCGGCGAAATTTACCTTGCATTTACCATATTTTATGCTGACCCACGACTGCAGTTACATTGGTTTAATATTTCAGAGTACGAATTACATTTACAGCAAGTCTCGTTAATATTTGTCTCAATAATAGGGGGAAAAAATCGCGAAATTCTTGGTCTTGCATTTTTCCACCCCAAACTGTAGCATTTCTTTGAACCAATTTTTGTACTTAATATTTTTCTTCTGACACATCCGAAATCCGCCCTAAGTGTAAGATATACCTGTATTCCAAAAAATGTCTCTTACAATGAGATAATATCATGTTATAATATGAGTAATTAATTGATAATTTCGAATCGTAACCGGCGAATAAGAATAATTCCCACCTGGTGACTCTGAATAATAGCTGCTTATTGTTAATAATAACCGGTTTATTCACTTGTACCATAACAAAGAATTTTACGGTAGAAGTTTGGATTCATGTTCACTATTTCAAGTTGAGTTACAAAGCTGAGACATAACTCTGAATCATTTAAAATAAAATTCTATGCGTACAGTATGCCAACTTACCTTTTCGAGATGAATTATTAATCCGCTTTTGTCTACTGTCAGAAATCCACCACTTCTCCTGTATATCAAGTAATATGCTTTTACACAAGTTTGCATTTAATAATGTCCGCTTATTAAGAAATATTTAATTGAAATAATGCATGTTTCGATCAGCACCTGACTTCAAGATTTTCTTCTGTCACACTTTTTCTCCGCTTCTTGTTCTTATTTCCAAAAAATAATCACACTACACCTTCCTTCACCTACGAGGCACTTGTTTTGACTAAATATATCTTCCGAAACATCATAGAAGGGGGCTCTTATCCATGTCACTTTTACAATGAATTAACTTCATCAGTTTGAATCATATTCACTGTTTATTCACTAACACTCATAAGAAGCCATATCACGCTCGCAATAACAAAAAACAACTAACTTGCTTTTGTACTTTTTAATTTAAATATTCCATTACTTAGCGCGCGTTACATCTCAGGTTACATGTTGTCTTACACACTGCTCCAGTTTGATGTAATATTGTAGGTTTTCTATAAAATAATATGGTATTATTTTATTTATATATTCACGAAGCTGTTTCTTTATCCACAATCCACCCAAGAGGAATCCATTTTGAGCCGAATTATGCTTACAATGTTGCACTGCCTCAGTATATACTGAGAAGACGCTTCAATCTCTCTCTTCAGTCCTACCGGTCGAGAACACCTGCCACCACTGTCTATACTTCGGCCTCGACCGACAACTTACCACCAAAAGTAGGCTACTGTGACTCCTCTCAACCACGCATGCGCCAACTAGAATACTGGATGGTTGGTTTCTTTAAGTTAGTTCTTCTTGCTCCACAAGTATCGGGCGCTTTGAAACTCATTCTAAGGCGCCTTTATATTTATTCGCAGGTTTTCCGATATGTATTCTTCTTCCGCTACATAGGAATCCTGACCAGGCATTTGCAAGTTGGCAATGCTATGTCGACGGAAGTGTTTTCTTGAGATCCGAACAGTATACACTTGGTCGTCGACTTACGACCTATGCGACTTACGACCTGCCACACTTACGACCACAAAAAAAAAAGAAAAATAATAGATGATTGAAATGTAAAAAGTTTTTAAAAATAAATTATAAAGATGATAAAAAAGATTAGAAAGGTTAAAAAAAATACTGCAAATAAATATATGGACGACATACGACCAGATCGACTTACGACCTGTCAGTCAGAATGGAAGTCGGTCATAAGTCGACGACCAAGTGTATTATGATGGTTATGTAGGGTGAACAGGAAGGGATAAGTGGTAAGATGGTTCTGATGGTCGGTGCACATGACCATGTATATTAAATTCTTGAGAGTTAAAGTCAAATATGCAGATTGTTACTATTCGCTACGAAGAATTGAATCTGGTTACTCGTGACTTTCTTTGCGATATTTAAGAGAAATACGATAATCGAAAGGAGCCGAGATAACGTAGTCGGTATAGCGACTGACTATGGGCTGGACGGCCGGGGGGTCGGAGTTCGAGTCCCGGTGGGGCAAGAGTTTTCTCTTCTCCAAGTCGTCCAGACCGGCTCCGGTGTCCACCCAAACTCCTATCCAATGGGTACCGTGGGCTTTTTTCCCTGGGGTAAATCGGCAAGGGCGTGAAACTGACCACTCATCTCAAACTAGTGCCGAGATCAAGAAAATGTGGATCTATTCATCCACTTCCCCATACGCCTTTATGGGGTAGAGCTTAATTAGTTAAGCACAAGGACAACTTTACCTTTTACGATAATCGAAATATAGAGCCGTTGGTTTAGTCTTGTAATATTAGGCCACTGGGGTTACATGCTTATGGTTAGAGATTTTGGTAAGGTCTGTACTTTCGGATGAGGGTGTACGGGGATTACGGGATTATTGTACTGGATGGAGCCTGTAAGCACTAGAGTACAGGCCGGAAGGCAGGGATTTTTCTCTTCGCCAACGTATAAGTACACTTCCACTCACATTCGTGCTTTCAGGACACTAGGGGCTATGATCCATATTGTATTGAATATTTTAAATATTTTATAAAGTCTGTTTTATTCGAATAACGACATAACATGTTGTACTCTTCTCCAAGTATAATTAGAATGATGACGTCAAGGCGGATGTGGTGGGCAGGTCATGTAACAGGAATGGGGGAGACGAGGAAAGCGTATAGGATATTGGTGAGAAAGTCAGAAGGAAAGAGACCAAAGGGAAGACCAAGGCGTAGGTGAGTGGACAATATTAGAATGGATCTTAGAGAGATAGGATGGGATGTTATTAATTGGATAGATCTGGCTCAGGATAGGGACCAGTGGAGGAATCTTGTGAACACAGTAATGAACCTTCGGGTTCCATAAAATGCTGGGAAATTTTTGAGTAGCTGCAGAATTGGCTCCTCCAGAAGGTCTCATGATTAAGTAAGTAAGCAATCGGCATACATATATTTTGGACTCGAAATTGCATACTGATGTCTATGCGAGCTACATAGTGGTAACTCAGCAGTGTGGAGAGACTAAATATTGTGGGATGTGGGCCCGTTGCTAGGCAACGACAGCCAAGCAAACAACTGGGAAACGCCCGAAAACAGCACCAAAGGAACAATGTTTTCTTTGTGATCCATGCCGAGATGTTATGAGCAGGATAGCTGGTGAGGAATGGGTTCACCAGTTAGTTCAGTTGAGTCAGTTAGTTCGTTAATGACTGAGTTAGTCACTCAGTTAGTGAGTGAGTTCGAGGACTGCTGCGGTACAAACGTTCTGAGCTGTTGCTGTGAGAATCTGGTAGCTAAGGCCGGGGATAGTTCGGGAACACAGAGCAAGAGGAACGTCCGCATTTGGAAGCTGTTACCGAGCAACGGCTAGTGAAAACCGTAAGAGACTGAGAACACTAGTTTTTGACAGTGATTTATAAAGTGTAGTGACGAGTTGCGTGTTAAGCTGTTCAATAAATCAAATTATCGATCAATATAATGTTTATATTCACCCCATGATGTGACAACATCCTTGAGTGTGCAGTGTGTCATTAGAGGGTCCGCGAACTCCTGCAACCGATACCTTCATATTGTGTCAGACATGTTAAGGCCAGGGTAACTTGCTCTGTGACTACGGCAATGGAACTGAAAACTTCGTTTGCTAACTTTCAGTAATGGTTACTTCCCGTTTTGCTTACCAGGTGCACACCCATTGTTACAAAGCGTGGTGGAGTCTCCACTGTGGTAATTTACAGCGAGTTCATTATGGAACGCCCTGTTTTTAGAATGCAAGGGACGAGTTCATTGATCCGGAAGGGAGCTAACTGCCAATAGAAATTTCTGATGAATCGGAAACCATCATGGGTGCTGCATTAATTAGAAATAAAAATACCTTCTCGTTGCAGGAGCCATGGAAACTTGATACAGTGTTGATGAAATATATGGCGCACGCGCTGATTGTGTTGGTGGTGATACCTTGTAACTTTCCATTTCCAAATCCGTTACGCTCCTAATTGTTATTCATCTGTTCCTTTGCGTTTCAACTGAGGAACAGACCTGTAGAACCACACTTGGATGTAATCAGCTGATTAAATCAACAGATGGCATATAGCCCTAGGCTTTATGTGGGTACCCAAGAGAATTTCCTTCAGTTATCGCCACTGACACATAATTAAGTGACTATCGGAATTTATTATTCCCATCAAAACAAATTCTCATGAAACTGGATTTGGAATGAAGGAATTTGCTGCAGTTTAAATGTGGCTTAGAATGAAACACATTCTGAAATCTTACACTTGCAAATAAGATCAGGTAAACCTACGGGACTATGTGGAGTTATTACAATACAATACGGCAGGAAAGTACATTATATAATTTTTTGACCCAAATTGGGGACAGATCATTCTGATATTCAGTCTACGATATGTGCAAATATGCCTATATTTATTTACTTTTGAGCTCCTCCAGGTAAATGCCATGATAATATCTACATTTAAGCTACAAACTCCTCCCTTGTTCAGCCCTTCAATTGCAATTCATTAACCACTCAACGCTTCTTACCCTTGATTCTCTGACATTGTCAAGTAAACTACAAGTACAAATGAATGAGCTTTATTCTATCTATTTATCTATCTATATATCTATCGATCTATCCCTGCTGCTTGAAGAATAGGGCATCCGTGAAACTCTTCGTTTCACTTCAGTTTCTTAATTTTAGACAGTTGGTAGGACGCCTTGGGCGGGAGATGAGCCCGTCGCAAGGCCGCTATCTAGACAGGACAACATAAACACAGAATAATCGGATACACACAACAAACATCCATGCCTTGAGTGGGATGGGAACCCACGATCCCAGTGTTCGAGCGAGTGAAGACAATCGACGCCTCAGACCGCGCGGCCACTCTGATGAACAGTGAGCTCTATACTCGTAGACGCTGTGCACCTTTCCCACTGCATTCGTTGTAAGGAGCTTGGAAGGAAAGAATGAGTATGGGAAAGATGTGAAAGGATGCAGTCGTGACCGATTTGAAAGTACTTTCACAGAATTTACCTTTATTATCTGAAGAGATAGGACTGTTTGGAATGCTCTGTCACTAGTCACCACTTCCCGCCCCCTGCTCTTTGTTGCGTCTTGTATATTGAGTGTTAAACAAAAATGAAAGACGCCATCGTATGCAAGGGAACGATACAGCGGGACATTAAGTAAATTCAGTAATTAAAGCAACAGAGGAGACGGGATGGCTCAGTCGGTATAGCGACGAGCTGCAGACTGAGCGGCAGAGGAATTGGGGTTCGATTTACGGTGGGGGCAAGATATTTTTCCTTTCTTCACAGCGTTCAAATCGTCTCTGGGGTTCATCCAGGTCCTATACTTACATACATACTTACTCATGGAGCTTAACTCTTCTTGAAGAGCCACCAGTTCTACAGCTGCTCAGGAATTTCCTAGCATTTTATGGAACCCGAAGGTTCATTGCCGTGTTCACAAGAGCCCTCCACTGGTCCCTATCCTGAGCCAGATCAATCCAATCCATATCATCCCATCGTATCCTTCTAAGATCCATTTTAATGTTGTTCACCCACCTACGTTTTGGTCTTCCCAGTGGTCTATTTCCATCTGGCTTTCCCACTAATATCCTATATGCATTCCTGCTCTCCCCCATTCGTGCTACATGCCCTGCCCGCCTCATCTTCCTTGACTTGATTATTCTAATTATACCTGGAGAAGAGTACAAGTTATGAAGCTCTTCATTATGCAGTTTTCTCCAACCTCCTGCCACTTCATCTCTCTTCGGTCCAAGTATTCTCCTCAACACCCTGTTCTCAAACACCCTCAGTCTATGTTCCTCCCTTAATGTCAGAGACCAAGTTTCACACCCATACAGAGCTATAGACAGAATTGTAGTTCGGTATATTCTAATTTTTATGTTTTTGGACAGCAGACGAGAAGACAAAATGTTTTTGACTGAATGGTAGCTGGCAAGGAGGCTGCGAATATATTGAATAAGCTGTCGCGGACAGCCTGAAAAGGGGTGGTTCTCCAGCTGGGGGTTGAGCGTGGGGCTAACAAATCCTCACCGTGGAAAAATAAGCTTGTTACAAAAATGTTCATAAAGCCTCGAATGATGAGCCATCTACCTGTTTAAATATCTGCGTTGTATCCCGCGAGACAGGAGCCTTTGTCTCAGATTTGTTTCAGGGTTCATTTGGATAGCCCTAGTTAGCAAGGTAGACATTCATGAAGAAATATACAGAAGTCG